CATCCGTGGGATTTGAACCCTAGACCTGCTACTTGGAGAGGGTGACGACTTGACCACTTCACTAAGCCGCCACACCTAACAATTTTATTATTATGTGCTTACAATTAAATAATAATTTAGCAAAAATACTATAAACATAAACATTTAAAAATCAATACTAATTTCTAAAAGTGAAAATCAATTTTTGTAGCTAAGAAACATTATACAGTACCTAAACAAAAATAAATACAATTTAAATAAAATTTTTACTTGATTTGATTTTTTAGCCGACTATTTATATTGAATAATTACATAAATAGTAAATTAATCATATGTTCTAGTCATATTAACTTGGTATCGATAGTCATTGAATACTTATAACTTAAACTCTTGTCCAAGAACCGAATATCAGCTTTAATCAAGCATTCATTTTTAACTGTGGATCCAACCTCTAGAGAGACCCAGAATATAGGAGGATTCATTCGCATACATAATAATCAATTGATTTTCTTATTGTTTATTAAATTAATGACAAGCTTCAAGATTATTATTAAAGAATTGCCACTATATAGTAAAAATTAAAAGGAAAAATTTAATAAAATGTAAAAGTTAGTATGTAAATTTTTGAGTTAGAAACAATTTAAAAACAGACAAATTTTTTATATAATTTCTATATTATACTTATCATAATCAAATCGTTAGTCAATTACCACATGTGAGGACAAATTCTCTTACATCTTTTGATGCTATTCAACCTCTATGGGGCAGAATGATTCAAAACTTTCCAAAAGGTTAAGTATTGAAACCAACGCAAGTGACCTATAAGATTTGTCTGCTCGTATAAGTGCCAGAAAAATACTGAAAACCTAAAATCATGAAGCAGCATCAAACAACTTTTAAGAGAAAGAGGAAAAGAAAATGGTATACAAAATGAATATTTATATTCCAAATAACCAAATGTGTTTCAGAAATCTATAGAGAAGTTCTTGATGAATTGTCTCAAATTACTTTTAAAATTCCAAATAATCTAGCATGTCGTAGAAAAGTTCCAGATAAATTGTACTTCACTTGTAATACCTTAATCACTCGTAAAGCCTAATTCACTTGTAATGCCTAGGGTCGCCTTGAAGTATAAAATTGAAACACGATTACTTCGTATAGTTTTTATATCTAAAAGCTTTTCAAAAAAAAAACAATGCATACAAGAAAAATGAAAATCAATATTGGTATTTGCCCTTAAAAAATATATGAATAAAAAATCAATGGCTTTTTATTGTGGCATGAAATTTTGAAAGAAATCATCCCTTAATAGTGAATAGCGGTTCTTAACTTTATATCTTCACTTTTGCTGCAGAATCTAGAAAATATCCCAATATGGCAATCATTGCAGTGTCATGAGGAAAGTAAAATAGCCTCACAATAAGGTAAATACTATGAAGTAAAAGGGTCTTAGTATAAATATCAATTTCCAAATGTCGTCATATATGCTAAATCATATGATGCAATATTTGAGGAATTGTCTCACAAATAAATAACTTTTCTGGAATTAATAAAATGAAAATAAAATTTTGACTTTTTAACCAAACTATTAGCAATTAAAATATAACTTCTGAAAATAACACTCATATATTATCATCTCACCGAACGAAGGACACTTCTTCTTGGTATATTCAAACATAAATCAGTAAACCTAACGGAAACAAGTAATGTTATATCCTTGGATTCAAAATAATTGATAGAAGAAAAATGAAGGAAATAAACCCAATTATTGAGTGTAAATATGACCCAGCTAGTAATGTTTACTTCAAGCTAAAAGTGGTACTTGAGGTTATATATCCCATTAAACCTATTAAGAAAAGATATAAGCATATTAATAACAATTAGATTGTTAACAAGACCCATAAGATAAATATCAACCTGGAACTTCAAAATAAGATTACGGTCAAACAAAAACTCAGTGCTGTTTATCCGGGAAAGTAAAATAATAGAGCAAATAATATCGTTAAGTATTAACATTAGAGATGCTTTACCCATTGATCAAGTGCCAAATCATATTCACTCATAGAAAAAAAAATAAAGTGCCCAATTGTGTACTGTTACCAAAAAAGAGCAATTCTGTACAGATTCAACTAGCATTGTCAAAACCTTGAACTTCAAGCTATACTGTTACTGAAAAAGAGCAGTTCTACGCAGACTACCAAGAAATGCAAATCTTGCAACGCATTGAAAATTTTTAAATAATTTAAAATTGAACAATCGGCATTTTATATACTGATATAGATTTAATCACATTACACCTGATCTTGTGTCATAATTGGTCAGTACATTGTTATGTATTAAAAAAAACGAGAGCAAAATAAATTAGACAACTAATAAAACTGTAACAAGAATACAATATAACTGATTATATAAAGTGCTTACAAAGACTAGAGGTGTAATTAGTATACATTTTTCATTAAACTTTGCTGTGGTTTACACTAACTGGAAGCATATTCTTTTAGCATATATATAGTATCTGGATATATATAAATTCTTAAGCACTTTAGTAAAGTTGGATAAATGTTGTAAAAAAATAGAAAGTTTTAATAATTATGAGCAGAAAGTTATAAAAATAAATAATAGAACTACCATTTAAAATATAAGAAATATTGTATTATACAACTTTGAAGAAATACTTATTTTTTATATATAGATCATTTCTAAAATTATAGTCACCACCAATACATTCGCTATTATTACAATAATGAATAAAATGCGCTGCATTGTTTGTATTAACTTTGCTTATAGAATAGATTCTATGTGATTCTTGAAGTCTATAAACTGGACATTCTAACTTTGTTTGGCTAGTAAATTCAAACTCATTAATGATAATAAATGCAAAATGTCGATTATTCTTTTTATGGCTAAAAATTGATTGTAGAATCACCTTTCTCAGATGCTATAGTAACAATATCACCGATATGCAGACACTGTTTGTCAGTCCCATTATTTTCTAAAAAACAACTGATTTCATAGTGTTGACATGAATCTTCAACAAATGCAGAATCATAACCTATTTCTCGATATATTAATGCCAGTTTTCTACGAAATGTAGAATTATTTGGAAATTTTTTTTCAATCTTCTTTTTTGGTATACACTTTTTTAAGATTATGTTTGAGAAGCATTTATCCTACACTACGTAGTAAAGAAATAATATAAAAAAATTTATTAATTAAAAATCTACCGCAATTCAATAAAAATATTTTATTCAAAATTCAAACCTTTATTTATATCTTTCAGATCAAAAGCGTTTTTAACAATAAACCAATCATCCATTAAACGTTTTAATTAACATGGAAGATTCTTTAAAGCATTATTCGTAAAAGAAAAGTGTTTGTCAACACCACTATCAAATAGATGGCGTATTGCAAACAATGTCGTATACTGTTTTAGCAAGTCAAGATCTATATTTTTCTGATTTGTCTGTGATACTATATTTTTAAATATACGGTGCACCATTTCTTTTGTCACTACACCCGTATTTAGCAAAGTTGCATAATTTTTTACATGTTGTACTAAATAATAATTAATATGCAAGTTCAAAAGATTTTCAAAATCTTGAAAAGCCTGATCTGTGATTGTCATTATTTTTATATTTAAGGTATGTGATTGTTATTGTTATTATTTAATAAACAATACACTTAAATAGACATACCTGCAAGAGTAATTTTCTTTCACTATCCAAACATTCATGCAATTCGATATAATCATCTTCCATAAAAAAATGTTTAAACGATATTGTTATTGATTTTGCTGTTAATACCCAACACTTTAACCACAGCTTTACAGCTAGATCACTTTGAGGAACACCTATTCACTTCTGAAATGAAGTTAGTTCAGGATGAAGGTTTTACAAATCTGCTAAGAACAAATGGGATCATCATGGCCAAATGTAAGCAATCTGATATCATGAAACTATCAACATGAGAGATCGGATTTGGTAACTTTTGCCATGTTCTTAGATATTCGAATGATTTCCAAAATTTGATAAATTCTAATTTTCCTTTACTTGAAAGTGCTTCAATTGTTATTTTGATAAATCTTAAAACCTTTCTAGCTGTAAGATAGTAGACATCATGTGGACACTAAAGATGTTTTTCTCTTTTTAGTCTATCAAGTATTAGTTGTTGTAAATGCAATCTGTATTTTGTAGCAAGCTCCTTATGTTTTGTTATAGTTAGTGTCGCAGAAATTTCTTTGAATTGATCATCTGTAAGATGATGGTAGCAAGAAACCAACGACAAATCAAGATCTTCAGAGGTCCAAGAATTTTTCACTATATTGCATGTGCGACACCCTCTTATTGCACTATGCCTTTTGACTCCAGCTAGATCATTCCTCTGTGGTAGATCGGCGGTTATATCACTGAGACTTGCAACTACGAGGCATTGGCTTCTTTGCATATCCATCACAATTCCTTTTTCTAGTTGTTCTATCTCATTAATGAAAGGTTTAATAAATTCGTTAAAACAACCTCCAAATGGGACGAACCCAAGTACAAAATGATTTTTTAAATGCTTTCTTTCATTAAAAGATAAATTGCCGATTTGGATATAAACACCTCCCAGTGAATAGTAGACATTATAGTATGTCCCAAAATCATCATAATAAAGATCAATATATAATTTATAAATTGGGAGATTCGTTTCAGATACCTCTAATGCAGCAAATTCTGATGGATGTTTGTAAGCATATACAACATCTCTTAACTTCCAATGTCCTTGATGCTTATAAAGAATCTCACGAATAAAAATCAGAGAAGAACTATTAATGTTATTTTTATTATAAAGTATAACAATTGTGGCGATTTTTACAACATTCTGTAATTCGACAACTATAACTGCGTTTTCTATTCCTCTATCTAACAACCACAATTCATTATACGATCTGTTTCTTTGATTATTACTTTTTAAGTTATTTGGCAATTCTTTAAATGTCAAAATACGTTGGACTGTTATTTTAAACTTGCTATCTACATCCACTATCGCTAAAATTTGTCCAAATCTATTTGTTGTTACTAATTCTTTGTAGACTATAAACTCTCCACACTTATATGTTGCTAAAATTAATATCAATAGCATATTTATTGTTTTTAGTATTATGGTTATACTTCATTAAATTTTGAAACAAAATAAGAACTTAATAAATAACTTACACCCATTGAATTCTATAGATGTATATCTGAATTGTGGAAATTCTTTCCATATATTTCCGTGCCAAAGTTCTTATTTTTTTTGACCAGGCCCAAAATACATTTGGCTAAACAATGAAAAATTATTAAGAAAATGCCAAATTATATTAATAATAGATAAGTAATACATCTCTTTAATATTTTTAGATATGGATGGCGTATTTTTGCTTAAAATATGAATATTTCATGTTTTGATTGGAAGTAAAGGTAGTCTTTGCTGATACTTCCTAAACTAACAAATATTCATTACTACATCTTCACTCTTAAACTGTGAATGATGAATTATATCTACCAATTCATTATAAGCTTGAGTTGCTATTTGAGTATATATAATAAATTTAAATTTTTAATAAATTTTTTTTTTATATACATATGTAGTGATATAACCCAGGTTGGATTTGTTGCAACCCGGGTGAAAACGGGTGGGTCAACCCGTGGGTCAACCCGCAGGTTGACCCATCGGATAATTTGAATTTGCTCAACTCGTGATCTGCAAATCAAAAATTGGCTGAATGATTTTTCAGCTAATTTGACTATTTCGATTTGACATATATACATAATTTAAGATATAAATCTTATATCTCTAGTTTAATACAGAAATATGATACTTTCAAAGCATCTTTGCTGGAAAATA